AACTTAATTCGGGAAGCCGGTGGTAACAATTTTCGACGAGAAATATGCGTTCTGAATTCAAGAACTCTGTCCAAATAGAAAAGCTGTGACTAACATTTCGCCGTTTATAGCAATATTTTGGGAAGCAAATTTAAACTCAAGGTCCAGTGTTTGTATTTACACAGGTTTCTCACGGTTAATTCGACTTGATAAAGGGAAATCTCATAAGCTGAGCTATTATCACGAAGAAAAGCAAAATATGAATTTGCGCTAAAGAAACTCAGAAATCGAAGGCATATGTTTTGTCTTTATTTTTAGCGACGACTTCAAGCTTCATGCATGACTAGTCACGCCACTCAATTTTGAGCCAATCACGAGTCCCATTATATAAAAAATACATTACAGTAATTTATGCATTAGGTTCGACACATGAGGAGAACGTCGTATGAATCGGCTGCCGCTCCATCGTCGCATATAGTGCGACAGACCCTGCCGAATTAAATGTTGTTTGCCGCACCAAACTTAACCTGCCGAACCAAACTGATTCAAACGCCGCTCTTTTGCCGTACTTAACTCATCAGTTAGGTTCGGCGCATGAATGGAGCGGCGTTTGGAACGGGTCTTAACGATCCCAATAGTGCACTCTGCACTAAAAGGAATACAATGGTGTCTCGAATATGTACAGGGTGGTTGCCAAAATCATTCTCCCGTCAATTCAACGCTTATCTGTCTTTCATAAACAATAATTGATTGTAAACCTGCGAGTTTCCAGAACCGCCCATAGGAATTTTATTGTAGGGTTGCTCAGAAATATCTCGTGTCCGTGTGACTTTGGTCACGTGGTCACGAGGCGACTTACATCACAGGCGCCTGGGGCGAGTCAAGCTCCACCCCCCGCCCGCGCTGGCGGCCAAAAAGCCTGGATACTGGAAAAGCTTACGGTGGAGGAATTTTTGCCGATTTTTGAAGATTTTGGAACCATAGATTGCGAATACTTCCTCCAAAACGACACACTTGAAGTTACACACGTCAGTGTGTTCTGTTTTCTGACCGTGAAAATCAGCGAAGTCTTTCGTGAACTTGGTTTTTGCTTTATGCGAAGGCTAGTCTGGACTAGCGCTATATTTCTACCGGAAATGTTTTCATGAACTGTACACTTCGTAACGCGCTTCCACTGAATTCGAAATGTGTTTTAACCCTCCAGTGAATGACATTGCAATAATTTGCTAATTTAGTTTGGTTGGAGAATTTCTTTATTTCCACATTGGAAACATGGAATTTTACGAGCCACGTTCGCAAAATGTGCAGCTGAATGGCGTCACACCAATAGACCCAGATGCCCAGAGCACTAATGGCCCCTCTGTGGATCGGTATGGTTTTGTAGGACAGCACAAACAAGCCTCGTAAGTTTATTCACAATGTTAGTTTACATTTTTTATATAACGACTTGAAGAAATGAGTCGAACCGCAGGTCACCTTTGTCCATTTTGGCGGTATATACTTCATGCTAGCATGCATATAGAGCACTTTATGTTTATACCATATATGGTATATCGTAATATGGCAGAAAGATCAACTCACATACACTTCCNAATGTCAGTGAATACAAATGTATGGAAGTGTGAGTTGATCTTTTTGCCATATTAGGATATACCATACATGGTATAAACATTAAGTGCTCTTTATGCATGCTAGCATGAAGTTCTTACCATTTTGGCCATGGGGGAGTTGGTGTCGGGGCGGGGGGTGGGGGTAGATGAAACATCATAATGTGCTCCTTAAGGACGATGCCTACTAGATGCAGAGGCCTTTGTCCATGGAAAAATATCGGAATGTGTTGGATACCATTATTTATGTATTCAAAGGGACATTGTTAAAATGTGTATTAAGAGTAAAAGTTTTAATTACTAAATGTATCACTATTTCTGATTGGTTGCAAAACGAAAGGGTCTTTGAGCCCCATTGTGATTGGTTACATGATTGGATATCTGACTTCCACTGCAATTCCACTGCAATTCCACTGCATGGCGGCTGCATAGCCTGCGTTGCAAGCATTCATGTAGAAAAACTTTTCTGCATTCTGGCTGCGTGTAAATTGGGACTGTGCTTAAATTGTAGCGGGAGCAGAACTTTGACAAAGCAGTGGAGGGGCAAGAGAGGGAATGCTTGCCCGCAAACCTCTCAATTTTGAAAAACACCCGCTAGTTTTCACAGTTGAGTTCATTTATCGATTGACAACTTTGTCACTACGCTAAAATCAAAATACTGCTACATGTATCTACATACTCATTTGGAGGGCAATAAGTCAAATGTTCAGATTAAGACCAGCTTTTCCTGTGGTTTAACTCTAACTGTTCATTAGCTTGCTGGTCATGTCATTCTTTTGCTACTAAAAAAATATTTAACCGTTGGATTGTAGAATCGCCCGGAAATATGAAGCCTTTGTTTGAAAATTGTCAGTGTGAGTAAATTCGCTTTTGCGGAGAAAACAACAACCAGTCGACGCATTCTAAAATTTGGTCCCATGTTTTCTGGACATGAAGAATGACTCTGTAGAGTTAAGCGAGGTTGCCAAATACATGTAAGACTATCAAAGATTGGTTCTCCTTCCCTGGTTCCTGTTTGATCTCTGCGCTTGATCGATAATTAAAAGAGCAGCTGAAAGATTTTAAAAGCTTTCGCTGAATCCAGAGCATAATAGAGCCACCAAGTGTTTGCCCGCTAAAAGATGGTGTCTTCTGAGTAAAATCGAATATGTACCACCCACGTCAAGTCTAATAAATTTTCGCTGAGGCCAGCACAATTTCATAAACTTTCTTTTTTTTGTATTTTATTGGTATTTATATAAGTTTACAAATAAGAGTGACAATAACAATTGAAATTACATTTGCAGATAAAAGAAAGAAAAACTAAATAAACTAACGTGAGTACAGATGGAAAAAAAACCGAGGAATACTATTACTAATAAGACTACTTTAGAGGAAAATACTAATACACCCAAAATACTT